ACCCCTCTCCCGGAGAGGCGGAGAGGATCGCACTTGGCAGGGCAAGAGAGCCGTGAGGTTGCGGCGGGGTGCTCTCGGCGTGTTTGCTCCGTGAAGCTCCCACCCGCACGCGTGGGGAAGGATAACATGGGCCGCGTGCCGTGAGAAAGGGGGCGCTTCATTTTTAGCACCGTTGAAATAAGTTGGGCGTGGGAGGTTTTGCAGTCGAACACTGGAAATGAGAGGCTGATGAATGGCTTGGCTCTGCCCTAAATTGGGAACGTTATTAACACATTTCTTCTGGGAACCTTAGCAGCACTGTACAAACGTGAACCGTGCCACCTGGAGTGTCTGGGATGCGTCTCTTGGCAGGCATCCAGTGCGGGTGTCTTAGACAACTTACCCAAATTAGTGCTGATAAGTCTATGGCAGAGTGGGGATTTCAGTTTACCATTTTCAGCATCTGAGTTCCCATTGCACCCTACTGTTTCCCTCACTGAAATGGAAGCCCATGTGAGGCAGCTGGTTTAGTACTGCAGCACATGCTACATCTGCCCATCATGCCCCATCTGTCTGTCTCAGGGTAAGTGGGGGAGCTGGAAGTGTCAGGCCCGTGGGGATGTCATCTTCCAGCTTCAGTGAAAGCTGAAGCTGTGTGGTCTGACCACTGAAGGCCCTGCAAAGGCTCATGCCTCATGGAAATAATCACTCTGAACAGCTGATCTTGTTTTCCTAAGTGCCCTGGTTCTTCCGCTGGAAGTGTCACTGTGGCTCTCCATAGGGTTGTGGCACTTGTGCACTTGAACATTTTGGACATTCCAAAGCAAGGCCAGACCCAAGGTTCTCCATGGATGAAGGCAGTTGGGAAGACCCCAGGTTGGATGTCCTGTGCATGCGATTGAAGGTGTGGGGAAGGAACATTGCCCTGGAGCCACGCACCAGGGCAGCAGCACCCACTCCTTGCAAGGAACACAGCTGGGCAGGGATGGAGCACAGCAGCGAGCAGAGCATAGGGGCTCAGTGTGACCCTCATGCTCAAGACCCATAGGGGCCACTGACCCTCTCATGGGACACTGTAGTCCTACAGAATTACATTCCCCTAAATTAACAATAATAGTGCTACCACATACGACATTAGCCCCAGAGAGTCATCACAGTGCACCCATCTGCAACCAAGAAGCTTTGCCCCATTGGGTGCTTTCATACTTTTATCCCTCTGTGATAAAGCCTGAGGGTGAGGAGATCACCCAGACAGCTGAGGTCTGCCAGGAGTGGCAGGTAGAAGGATTAGAGTGCCTGCGCTCAGGCATATGCTAAAATAACAGAAATGGCTTAATTCATACCTTTGGTTATTTTGGTGCAAGTCCTCGTGGGGATGCCGAGGTTAGAACAAAAGCATTCTATTTTAATTTAGTGTAATTATAGCTTGTCTACTTAGAAAAGCTGAATTGCTTTAACAATACTATTGCAGCTAACTCCCCAGAGTATGGATGCAGTTGTGCCAGGATAATGCTAATATGGCTTATTCTTGCTGGGAAAGGGAAAAACATTATGTGTGCAGATGCAGGTTCGCTTTCAAACAGCTGCAGCTGTTTGAAAGGTTACCACCAGGGCAGCCTGTTGCCACACTTCTTCCTGGGGCTCCTCCCTCATAGCAGAGCCTTAAAGGCAAGTGTGCTCCACAGCCATCTGGCTGCAAAATTACAGTGTTTAATTCAGTATTAGGCACCTTCAGCCCAGCAGGTGTTCCACTGAAAGGCATGAGAAGATTCTGCATGGCTGCTCTGCTGTAATGGTGAGGGAGCTCAGAGCTATCTGTAGTGTGGTAACAGCTTGAGCAGTGATGCTGTTTCAACAGTGAACCGCACAGCTTAGTATAAGAGTGGTACAGGTGACAGTCACATCCCTGACCAAAATCAGGTACCAATCCCTGTACCATAAATTTTTACAGGTCCTTCTTCTCCTTCAATGGAGGCAAAAGGAAAGTGGATGAATGGCATAGACTTGTGTCCCTTCTTCTGAATTGAAAACAAATCACTTTTCAGTGAAGCTCTGAAGGTAGCGAGGATCTGCGCAAGACAAGGAACAGTATCTTCACTCATTTCTGGAGAACTGCATGGTGCATGGAGACTGGATGCTGTTAGTTCTGGTGCATTTCCTCCCTACTGCTCTGTGAAGGGGCAAGAACCACATTTGCAGCCCATAATCCCCTTTTTACTCTGCATGGTTCTGCAAGTGTACGTATAGATGCATCTCTACACAAGACAAGGTAATGCTAATGAAAGATATGTACAATGGGAAGGGGTACAGCTTTTAAGGCTGTAGTTCCCCCTGAGCAGCACCCAAGAAAGTTGTCTCCCACACACATTAGCTTTGATAGAAAGGCCCGTTGTGCCTGAGGAGCAGAGCTGTCAAGAGGAGTCTCCACCTCTGTGCCAAGATGCTTGTTACCCTTCTCCTGTTAGAGCCCAGCAGTTGGTAGTTTTCCATCTCTAGAAACCCAGGGGAACTTTCCACCTCGGGGAACAAAAAATTGGAGAAAAGTCAACAGACCAGACAAGGTTCATACCACATTTATTCAAGGAAAGAAATAAAAGGAGTACCATAATTACATTTTAATTACATTTTACTCTCAGCAGCATCCCATAAATCATGTACCTTGTTAGTACTGTGGAATAGCATATGATGCTGTAAGTCAGCACATAGTAAATACGTTGACAGTAAGTACAGTAAATACTGTTCACTAGTTGGCTTTGGCCATCTTGGGCAGTAAGTCTTGCTGAAGTCATGGCAGCTGATGGGTTTTTGCCCCCTTGGTCCGTTTTGTCTATTTTTGGTGAAGAGAAGGTGAGCAGGTGTACTGCAATCTCTGACACCAAGCTGGAATATGGCACACCTGAGGACACAGGGATGCACGAGCAATGTCATCTCTTATTTGCAGTGGCAAATGGCAAATTCATGTCCTGTCTGAGACAATGAGAACTCATTAAGAGAAAAGATGCACAACCACAAGGAAAAATGCTGTAGGTGGGAGATGAGAGGGCGGGCGATATGCACTGGGTGACAATCCATTTGAACGGCATCGAAAGATGGTGTGAGAAAGCCCTTCATGCAATGCTACAAGCAAAAAATGCCACATGTACATTTTTAAACACCTTCAGCAGACAAATACAGCTGATGCATTGAGCTAAGTAGGCTCCAGCAAGTGAACTATAACAGTCTGCATTGTTTCTGTGCTCGGGCAGGGGGGTGTGAGTGAATTCAGAGCTGCATGGTTGCCCTATACTGTAATGTACCCTACCCAGTACTGTAGCCTTTTGTGTAAAAGGATGAGCTAACCAGTTGTTTTGCAAAGGCGGGGGGCCTTTTGCACCACAGCAGCAAGTCAGAGCAGCTCCCAGGCTGCCGTGGTGGCGGTGGGCTGAGGGTGCATTGGTGGAGGGATGCTGTAACAGATAGCCCCTGTTCCCAAGCTTTTGGCCTCAACCCTATCACATGCACACATCTTACAGGTTTGAACCCAATTGTTTTCAGAGCTCTAATCTGGGGGATAAACAGGCTTAATTCCACATAGGTCAACAGGGTGGCAGTTGTCTGTCTCAGGGCTGAATTTGACGCATTATCAGCCAGTTCACAGAAACGCTCTTCCTCTATCCTAGTGCTCGTGTTAGTCAAATATTATTCTTCAAGAAAAATTACAGAGAGAGGAAATTATTTTATCAGGATGTGAAGTAGGTCATTGTTATACCCTGGCTTATCATTTTCCCTGTGATATAAAAACTGTGTACTGGATACTGGCCTCGTAGAATGAAAGCTTTCTTTTTTCTTTTCTTGCAGAAACTTGAAAAGCCTGACACTGAAAGAGGCGAGGGAGTGAGACAGCGCGCTCTGAGCATGACGTGATGCACTGCTGCTTGTTCCAGGGAAGGGTATGGCCTGATCTGCACGGCTGTCACCAAGATCCTATTCTTTATTGAGAAGAGCAACCCTGAGGTCTGGAAAAAAAAAAAAAAATCTCTGATGCATCCCTTCATTTTCCAAAAAGGTGGAGTGGGTCAGTGGCATGCGAGGTGGTGAGAAAAGAAAGGAGAAGCAAAAGAAAGGAGGGAGAGAGCAAGGAAAGGACAGAAACCTGGGAAAGAAAGGGCAATTTATATAAAGGAGTGCTCTGTCTCTAGAGAAGTGCCTTTGAGGCTGTTCTTTGTGAACTGTGAGGGAAAAGGGCTAGAGAACTACAAGATACTGCTGCTTTTATTATATATTTGATCTGTAGTTTTAAAAAATTGTATTTTGCCAGGGCTTATTTTAATAACATTTTCATGCCCGAAGTATAGATTTCAGGGAAGTTTTCAGTACTTGGCAAAAGGGATCAGTAAGTGGCACACATTACTAAAACAATAAACTCTCACCAGCCTGCCAGCTGAGTTCTGATTGAGAAGAGGCTACCAAAAACTCACAGGCAAAATCAATTGTTGAGATAAAGATGGGGAAAACCCCACAAAACCAAAACAAAGCACAGTTGCTTCAAGCCTCCCAAATTCCTATTTAATTCAGAAAACAAATTAACCCTAACCTCCTATCTGCAGTGCCTCTGCAGGGAAACCACGGTGGGAGGTGAGCCCTTTATCTCGCTTTCAAAATCCTTTTTGGCTGATCTGGGGTCAGGTGCTGAGAAGCGCTGCATGACAGTCACCAATTTGCCAGCTTCTCCTGTAAGCCCCTCGTTGCCCTAGGGCTGCCCCACACTCCTCTGAGTGCACCAGAGGTGGGAGCTCCTCCCAGGACTCTCCCTGCTGACACTGAGCAGGGACCAAACAGTCGCCTCAGCAGGTTGCCTGGGCACCGCTGGAGACACACTGGGTAAGATCTAGGTGGTGGCAGATAAATGTCTCGGTAAGAAAAATAACAAAGTTACCAGTTTTGACAAACATCTGAATGAAGGAACTGCCCCTGCCCTGTGCAAAACGGGAGGAGAAGAAAACATGCTTGGACAATGTGCTGCGCACTGGTGGGACTGGTGTGTGACAGAGGAGAGAGCTGAGAGGAGAAACGACAGCTCAGTTTGGACACACATCACTGAGGAGCTGGAGCAGAGCAGCTAGCACTCAAAACTGGCATGGTTTCTGCAGCACAGGTGCTCTTTACCAGACCACCTATCAACGCATGTGTGAATTCCCTTACTAGTTTTCCTAGCTGCCATAACCCCACCAGTTCCAAAGGTGGACTCTCAAAACAGCTGTCAAAATCCTAGCTTCCTAATGGGAGACCTCACTTTTGTTAACAGTACTGGGAGAAGAGTGGAACAGAGAGACCTGTCTGCTCTGCCAGCAATGCTCCCAGGCTTGCCCCTGCACTCAGCCTCCCCAGTGAAGCTTGGCCTAGCCAATAGATTTGTGCTGATCTGCTTTTGTGGACAGTTTGTCCCATGCATTTTTAGCTGGTTACTCTTTAAGTCTGAAAAACAACAATTGGTCCTAGTGTTATCTCTTTTGGAGCCAGCCACTTCCTATTGGTATCAAACTTGGAAGAACCCCACGGCTACTGCTGAAAAGCCTTTTCCCTTTCCACATTTAAAGATCTTTTCTGAAAGCAGTTGCTGGGATCTCCTTGATGGGGATTAAAAGGCTTGGAACAAGCCAGCCCAAGTGTCAGTTTTATTGAAAGTGAACAGGCTGTTCTTCCGTGATAACTGCCCAACTTTGAGGGCAGGCATCTCAGGAAAGCATCCACAGCTGGCTCCGGGGCAGCTTAGCAGAGAGGGAAAGCCATGGCTTTTTCTGTGCTGCATGGTAACACAAGGCAGGAAACTAAAGACCATGATTCACCTAGTGCAGAGCAAACGCTGCCATCCAAATCAGCACCATCCTGGCTCAGGTGGTTGTATGTGGAGGCTCCCAGGTGCTTCCCTGATCCCCAGCTTTATCTGGACCAGCTCAGTGCCAAGTCAGTCCCACCTCCCTGGTGCTGCCAGCCACAGCTGGGGAGGAGCGGGCACTTCTCTACATGCTGTGCTCTACCCCACCAGAAATCTGCTTCGGTAGAGAACTGTGAGCAGGTCTGGGATACTGGAAAGCAGTTACGCAGGCATTATGTTTCTCTTCTCAGGGACAGGATGAAAACCTTTGATTCTCAGATTTTCAGGGTAGCACTTTTCAGCCATAATAGGTATACATAAATCAGAAGCTAGCCACAATTAAATATAAGAGATTTTTTCCCTTTCAGGCATCCCATCTCTACCTGGGAGTCCTTCACTAGCATACAAGGATGGGCTCAGGAAGTTGCCATTCTAGTCCATTTGAGCTGGATTTTGAAAGAAAAAGTTGCCAGAACAGTACCACCAGCATGGCTCTGAAAGGCAATGGTTTACTGTCACACAGCAATGTTTTCACTAGCCTGGTTTAAAACTAATTTTCTGAGCAGAATGAGATTCCAAAGGCTTCTTTGCTGGATCACCTTGACAGGCTAGTGTCCTCTCTTAAATGGGAATTTATGTGCCTAAAAACGTGGCTCAACAGGGTAACTTCTACTGAGTGAAAACTGAGCCTCAGTTTACCGGCGTTTGAGAAAGTACTTTGGAGGTGTCTGCAAGTCCTTAGACAAAAGATGTGAATAAGGGTAAAGCATTACTGGTAGATAATGTGATCTTGTCTCTGAACCTGCTTCTCCAGCTGCTTTATGGATCTCCGTATCTTTGACAGAGAGTGTTAGAGCAAGAAGGACAAAAATGCTGAACCTCTTTCAGCTTCGGTAGTTCAGGAGAGGGGTTTTTGTGGAGAAGTGCCCTAGGGGCTTTGAGCACCAGCCTCTGTTAGCTGCAAATACAAGCCACTAAAAAGCACCAGAGCTTTCCCACTGAAGTAAAGGCATCGGGAACAGGAGATTAATAGGTTGCCAGCTGTGTCAGCGTGATAAGCCAAGCAAGAACCCAGATGCTTTCAGTCGAAAATGGATTGAGACCTCAGCAGGGGCACACGGCAAATCAACCAGAAGCTACACATGGAAAACTGAGCAAGGCAGTGTGGGCAAACATTTCTTATCTTCACTTTACGTCAATAGAAATGGCATTGTAAAAGAGGCAGCAAAGTATTTGCTGGAGAGGAGGAGGGAAAAGTCCACAAGTTTTCTTGGCTGTACATGTAGGTTTTAAAATGCTACTGTTTTCCTAGGAAACCTGTCACTGAAAACAAACACCTATCAAAAATCACCCAGCAAGTTCTTCCAGAAGGCTGGCTGATTGCTTGTTTTGGTAGATTTAGCTGAGCTGTGCTGGCAGGAATCTGCCTGCCACTGCTGTTGTGCTCCAAAGGCAGTCGGGAAAGTACAACTCCTTAAACCAGTCTGAAGCACAGCTGTCTTAATCACCCCACCTAGTCTGATTTGCCACAAAACAGGACTTGTGGGAGAGGCAGACCTCAGAAATCTGGGGTTTCTGCAAGGTGATGCTGTCTGCAGCCATCTCCCTGTTTCCCACAGTTCTTGCTTCTACAGCAGCCCAGCCCAATTACCTTCATAGGTACTTTTTCTTTACTTTCTGGTTTTATTGTTTTCTTTAAGGCTAATTAACAGAAAGGTGGCTGGGGCCCAGGTTTCTTGTGTGGATTTTTTTTTTTTTTGTGGTGGTGGTGGTGTTGCTTTTCATTTTGCTGAGTTTTCTTTTTGCTTTTAAGCAATTATATGCAAGAAAAGCACCTTTCCTACCAGAGGCAGTACTGAGTGAGGAGAAGACTCAGCAAGCAGAATAATAATAACTAAGGTAGGGCCATGAGTAGGTTTCAGCTCCTCCTCCCAGTTTTGCAGCACCACCCCGAGCAGGTAATGGGCCCTCACTGCACCTCTGCTGTCAGCACCCTGGAGCAGGGAAAAGCGCAGATATTTCCACCCCATAGGAGTTGTGCAGGTGTCAGTAAGAGGTGAGCTGAGAAGAAAAGCAGTCTGGGATAAATACAAATAAAGCCTCACAAGCTGGATCCTTATGTCCTCTGGATCCACCTCTGCCCTGTGAAGCCTTCAGCTGGCCTCTAGCCAGAGCAAAGCTCTTCACTGGGTTATGGCCAGGGGTGGGCTCGCTGCATCTGGGTGTCTTGGGGCAGGGCCACCCATCACATGCTGGTGGGGAGCTGTGGCTCCCAACACTTACTCCTCCTGCCACAAATCCTCACCCCACATGCGCATGGCTTTGCAGGGACTTTAACCTTGTGCCTGGGAGCTAGCCCTGGAATTCTGAGGGTACTCTGTCAAAAGGTCCAGTTGTGACTTCGGGTATCAAAATAATTATATTGCTTATAAAAAAAAAAACCTCAAAATATGATTGTCGATAAAACAGTGCATTTTCATATAATGCCATAATTAATGAACACAGATGCTCTGTAGTTGCAGTCCCTGACACCATAGTGACGGACGTGATCTAGGAACAGAGACAGATGATCCAGTAGCTGAATGACTGATCATCTCCCTCAGAACACAGGTATGGCAGAAATTAATGGAAAAAATAGGAAACGGAAAATTCATGATGCTGAACTGCTTTCTGTTTTTCTCAGCAGGGGAACTTCAGGCGATGTGCCTGTAAAGCACCGAGCACCTTCCACTCTTCCTGACCCCACCAATTTTCTCTGCACAAACCATCCATATGGATTTGTCATGTGGCCTCTGAGAGACCCTGAGGCCTTGTACATCCCAGTAAGTCAAAGCATATGGGGTGGAGGAGCCACGTCCCTGCCTAAGCTTCTGCAAGTCCCTAAGGGTCAAGTTAAGTGCAAGCCTGATCCTGTTGTCTGGACCAGGCTTGCCCAGTGCATGCATGCTTTAAACTGTCCAGCCTCAGCAGGCTGGGTTTCCTCTCAGCTGCAGAGCTCAAAGGAGGTGTCTCGCCCCGTGTGGTCCTGGGCAGCTCAGCATCCCCACCAGACCAGGGGCACATCTTTGTGGCTGGCTCATCCTCACCTGCCTGAGGGGCTTCAGACCCTGGGGCTGGGATGGGAGGTTGAGAAACAAGAGGGCTGAGGGACTGAAAGACTCCTCTGGAGCCATGTAGTCCTTTCAGCATTTCCATGAGTTTATTTTTCCTCTCGGACCCAGGGGCTTATCAGCACTTCCCTGCCCCACAGGGATGTTGGGATGAGCTAATCCATTAAAAGCTGTGCAGTGCTGAGACACCAAGTCTACAACCCCACAAATTAATAAGATGGGCCGAGGAATGTTTTCGACCCGCAAGACCCATTGGCATGCCCTGCCATTCCCGAAGGGATGTGCTCCTGTCCCCCCAGAGCGGGAGAGCTGTGCCCAAACCACCTGCCAAGAACCACTCCAGCTCCTGAAATATGCCTGGGCATTGGCAGCAAACTCATGCAAGGGCAGTGCCAACCATTTAATTACATGGGCAACTGCCTGGGCCTGTGCCCTGCCTCTACTTTATTAATTTATTAGTACCTTGCTGCTAGCCTGCACTTGTACAGACAGAGAGCTTGCCGTTAGCAAGGACAATAAAGTGCCTGTAAGGGAAAAGTCCAAAGTGTTTCATTGGTTTTAGTAGAAAAAAGTGCTTTCTCCTCTGGGTTTCCATCTCTTTTGTCCTGGTCACTGTGGAGCTGGGTTTGGTTGATTCAGACAGTGAGATTTTTTTTTGTGCAGTGCCTAGCAGAGGGAGCCTTGGTGGCCGTGTATCACTGCCATCCCAGAGGATCCTGCTGTTGCTGTTATAAGCATAATACAGCCAGGTTTAAGACAGGGATGTAATGCTCTGAGTGGCCAGCTTACTGAAGGGAACAAAGAAATGATTATAGGGCTAGGGAAAAAATAAGGGGGAAAAAACTAAAAGGAAACAAAGAGCCATTGACAAGAGACAAATTAGTTAGGTCTTGAGTGTCCTTCTCTATCTGATAAAACAAAAATGTCCAGAGCAACAATTAACAAAAAAAAAAATATGCAGAGTAGAATATCTCTGTTTAGCTCCAGGTACTGACTGTACACAGGGCTCTTTTTTTTTTTTTGGTTGCTGTTCTCATGTTTTGGGTTATCTTGAGTCTTGGTTAATGCAGAGCTGGTTGCATGTGTGTATGTGTGTGTGTGGTGCAGTCCCCTCAGGTTTGAGAGCTGTCTTTTGTGAAGGAAAGGAAGCCCCACTGAAGAAGGGCAGCAAAGGAGCAAAGCAGGCGCAGAGGATACAGGAATGTGCTTTGGCTGCTCCTAAGGAAACACAGCTCAGGGGTAGGAATTAGTGCTGGAAAAGGACTCAGAACTAGAGGCAAATCCAGCAGGTGGTTAAGGTTGGGAAGACAGCACTAAATAAAACGAAGAAAAGGAAAGCTGAGGAGAGTGCTGCTCCTGGGCTGCTCTGGGGTACGTTGCTCGTGGCTGGCTCACTGGCAGGCAGCGAGGTCGGGGAAGGATGGGCTGTGCCCACGAGAGGGTGGTATGAACAACAGGGAGCTGAAGGATGTTTGGTTTTGCCTCATCAAAGAGAAAGGGAATAATCCGTTCTCCATGGCATGTGGAGGTAAATAAAGAAATACGTAATGAGCTCAAACTGCAGCACAGAAAGATCAGTACAGATGGCAAGACAAACTTTCTAATGTTGGGGACAATTGCATATTGCAGTTGCCTCCAGGGACTGAGGCATCTCCAGAAAGGTAAGACACCAAGGGCTGTCAGGAATGGTAAGGGACAGCTGCTTTTGTTTCTAGGCAGCTGGGGTGCAGTGGTGTTTCCTGACAGTTGCTCTTCCAACCATACTTTTGGAAAACAATCCAAAGACTGTCAAGTGCTATGGCTCCGTGGTGATTTTCACTGACAATAGAAAGGAAACTAGACAAAGGCTAGGATACATTTCAATGTTCTTGCTCTCTTACTGTAATATTTGTTTACATATGTGGAAGTAGATGCACCTGTTCCATTCACTTTTTCTTCATTCACTTCACTGACCACCTCCTCTTGTCCTATGAATCATTGGTGTGTCCCTGAAGTGCAGCCTGAAAACCGTAGGACTGGATGGCCTCATGGGAGCTGTTTTGGGTCCCTTCCCTGTGTGAGTGTGACCAGCTGCCCAGTGCCAGGCACTGTCCCAGGGGACTGTTCATCTCTGTACGTGAGGCACAAACAGGTGTTGGGTTCAGAGCAAAGCCCAGCCCATCTCATGCTGCTGCTCAAAAGCCTGAGAAATGGCACAGTCAAGACCTGTCAGATATACAGCTAGATGCTGTTAAGTGCTGTCTGTCATGGATGTTAGATTGCTTTCTATCAGAGAAAGATCACAGAAACAAGAAATGACTCTTGCCTCTTACGATTTTGTGTTTGGAAGCAGTTGTTCTTAGCTATATCATTTACCTGTATCACACCATCTCTGGTCTCACTGGAAAAGTCTCCGCTTTGTTTGCAGTGACTCCTCTTTCCTCTTTCATTTTTTTTCCGATGCAGTGAGAACTGGATTCTGCAAACCCCCATGCAGTTTGCTTCCCTGTTAACCGAAGCGTAAATGTTCTTGCGTTCAAGGCCTCTCTCCCCTGACTGGAGCTCTTCTGCATGGCTTGTCCTTCAAAAGCTGAATGACAATAAGAAATTGTCCTACTTAAACAAGGGACCTATTTCACCTTCTCACCACACTCATAAAAAAATGGCGATGCTAAATACTCTTAAAGATCAAAGGCCCAATATGCAAAACAGATCCTGTACACCAAACTGATGGGCTTCTCAGGGTTTTGTTGCTATGGTGCTATTTTCTTGACAAGTTAAAATATCCCTTGTCAGTCTCCATGGCAGCCTAGAAGGAGAAGTAACCATCAAAAAACAACTGAATATTTTCTTTGACTACAGCCATTGAGTGGTTAATTTTTTTTTAGGCTTTAATAACCCTTGACTTCAAGTTTGGCTATTAACCCACCAACTGATCATTAACTATACGGACTGAATGACTGATGTCCACAGGATTGGTGTAAAGCAGGATTAGTTTTTATTTTTTTTTTTTTGAAGGACTCTAATATCTCCCACCACCAGACAGACAACCTTTTGATTCCCCCTTAAGACTCTGGGACTGAGCAGAGAGGTACTTGCAGGTTATCTGCATAGAAACACACTGCTCAGGGCTGATAAACTCACTGACGCTCTATCCTGCTTTCCAATTTAACTCAAGCCTTGCTGAGCAGCAGGAGTAACCTGACTGAATTGCTGGGGGTGACAGCTTGAGGTCTTTAATCAACATTCCCAGCTTAATCAATGGGTCTTTAGCTAGACTGAAACACAAATCTGAATATTTCTGGTATTTACCCTGGTGCTTGTCCTTTTCCTACCAGGACAGCTAGTTATGAATAAATGCAACGTTGCTGCAGAAATGATCAAATGTCAGTTGGACTTCCCTTTTTTGTACCCTAGTCATCTTTAAAATGCCTACAGCTGAAACTTTCTAGTGGCACTTTGCTTAGGCCATTTAGATAGTAATGTGCTAATAAATGAAAGGAGCATTCTTTTTTCATGAATAAACTACTCTGACTCACAGTCCATATCCTAAGCCACAAGACCATCCTGTCTTTATGACCTGAGATCCATAAGACCTAAGGAGGTGACTCTGACTCAGCAGAGGAGAGCTGGGATTGGACTGTGTTTGCTATGTGTATCTTTCTTCCGAACACAACGCAGCCAGAAGTAAGTCAGGAAAAAGCCTCTGGCCCTGATTACTCTTTGGGGTTTTGATTGCTCCCTTTGGTATGAGAATGAATTAAGTTCGTATTTATAAATAGCAGTCTAACCACCCCTGTGCTGACAGGCACAAATGTCAGGAAATATGTAGTTAGTTCCACCAGTGCAGCATCTTTGAACTTTAATTTTAAGTACCTCTGTCATACCAGGGGAAGCAGAACAACACATCTGGAACTAAAAGGTTCCTGTTAGACTTTTCACACTAACTATTTCCAGCTTTTTTCCAGATAGGAGTTTTCAGCAAAATGTTTTCTAATTAAAAAATACTGATTCCTCAAAACTATTGTTCTTCTCGTGAGAGCTACAAAAGAAAACATGACCAGTACATTTCTCAAATAAAAGTAATAACGAAAAAAATTATGAATATCAAAGCATCACTTTTTTTCATTATTGACATTTAAAAAAATATTTTCTTTATCCAAATGTCTTTTACAATGTAAATAATTATACTTTTAAATGTTACTTTAAAAAAAATATTGAAAGCTCTGAAATTAAGTATTTCCATTGACTCAAACTCCACTTCTATTGTTTGCTTGCAAATATTTTCCACGGCTACATTTTTGATCCCATTTTCTGACTTGAGAGACTTTTTCCATTTCAAGCACCTTCTCTCGGCTGAAAATAATAACCAGATATTTTGTGCTTGAATAAAAGGTAGGATGAAGTTCCAGCTAAGACAGGCCACGTGTGCCTTTGGAATATGTTCACAGAGGAGCAGCACACCTGTGCTATGGCTTCAGATATAATAGCAAGGCTCTGCTGTAAGTCAGCCAGGTGAGGAGTGCTCCATCAGACTCCACCCTCCTGTAAGGAGTTGCTAGCATGAGGTTCAGCAGGACAACAAAGTGGAGAGGAATAGACAAAAACTGTGCGACGGTAATTTTTCTGCATATGTTCATCGAATTTTCCATTTGCAGAAATGCAATCACCTTGATACACAGCTGGCAGGATAAATGTCCCAAAAGCACCAGGTTTTGGGTAACAAAAGCACCAGGTTTTCCAGCATTCATTTCTAATGCTAAAATCCTGCAGAAAAATGTTACTATGCATAGGGAGGGACTGTTCCTGATGGAGGCAAAGCTCACAATGAAGTACCAGCTTCAGCATTGGAGCCAAGAAGCTGCAGAGGCAGCTGCTGTTTGCCTTTCCCCACATAGCATTCCTGCCTCCAGCCCTGCAGAGCAGTGGGACCGGGAGTGTACCAGTGAAGCTGGCTGCATCCTGCACACGTGTAAAGCTGCCTCCTCAGGCTGTGGCGAGCTAATGCTAGAGAGGTTTTTCCAGCTCCAAGGAATGAAATAGCACCTCTGCCAATACAGTTCATAGCAGAGCCTCAGGAAAAAAAAGCCCTAGTATAACAACAACCACCTCCAGTTGTCATTGCCCCTGAGGGCAGAAACCACAAAAAAGCCTAGACCCGAGGCAGCAGCACTGTGCCAGCTGCACTTGCTGTGTGCCCTAGGCTGGGTTGCTGAGCTGCTCGGGCTGAGCTGCTGGCTGCGGGGCTGCCAGGAGGCTGAGCTGCAGAGCTGTGCTGCGTTGGGGCTGCTGTGCAACTTGGATGTGGCACTGGATGATGGGCTGGGGGTTAGGGCTTGCTGGACTCCAGGACTGTAGGGCTGCACGATGCTGGGATGTGGGGATGCTGAAATGCAGGCATCTGGGGATGGGTGTTAGGCTAGGTGTCTGCAGGGGCTAAAAAATGGACATTTGGGTGCAGATCTTCTGGTGTTCCTGGTTGTGCGATTGCTGGGACACCACTCTGAAGAGATATGAGGCTGCTAGGTGGTGGGCAGAGGGAAATGTTGGGCTGGATCCAAGGCCGCAGGGGTGCTGAGTGTAGGGGTGGCAGGACTGCAGAGCGGTGTGCAACTCTGCGAAGCTGAATGCTGGCCTGTGAAAGGTGCAGGGGAGGTGGGGATGGGCTGGGCTGGGCTGGGCTGGGCGTGGGGCGGCGGCGATACCGGGATGCGAGGCAGCGGTGATCCCGGGATGCGGGGCTGGGATGCGGGTTGCAGCAGCGGCGGTCGCCCCCTGCTGGTAGTTCCACCGAGGCGCCCTGTAGCCTGTTCATCCCCTCCTTGGCCGTAGCAGCAGCCTGAATTCACAAGGATATTCACAGTATTTTTTTGTTTGGTTTTGTTCTTTTGTTTTATCTTTTGTTTGTTTTTTCCTTCTTTTGTGCCTAGAGCTGGCAAAAGGAGCCTGCATGCCCCATGTGCAGTGTCCTGTGGTGCCATCAGGTTACTGATTTATTCCATTAGCCACAGCTTAGAGATCACAGCTTCACACTCTGAGGCTAGTTGTCCACTGGCTGAAGTCACTCACAGGACACCAAACCTTGGCATCATCCTTGTTTGCAGCTTGCTGTGGCCATGTGCATCGCAGAGCTGTGAGCAGGAATGGCACCCGGTGTCCTCAGCACCCCTCAGGTGCAAACTGCACAGCATCCCCACTGAGCAGCATGACAAAATTGTGCTTACAGGTACCTAATGGCACCTAATGGTACATGTACAGGTACCTAATGGACCTGACTCTCCTTCCCTCAGGGACAGCCAGGACACATACATTGCAAGCTCCCTAGCCTCCCATAGTAGGGATATTTTTCATTTCCTTGTTTGCTACTTTTGTTTCCTACCCTAAAACACCTCCACAATCAGGCCTGTCCTGGTATGAGTACAAACAGGCTGTGCTGCACTCGTTTCTTCATCTCCTCCCGGATGAACTAAATAATTACTCAAATGGTTAACTACTAATCAAATACAGGCAGTACCAGCCCCTAGGACGCTGCATGTGGTACAGCGAGTTTCCTGGAGCTGTCCAGTGCCACTTGTGCAGTGCTGGCAGCACAGCTAGACCTCAGGGGGTGAGACCTGGCACAGCATGTTTCTCAGCTCTCACATGGACCACTTTTGGAGGTTTTTTTCGAAGAAAGAAAAACCTGATGCTTGAACTGCTCACAAACAGCAGGAGGAAAACATACTAGATTTTACCCAATTTTAATTTGCAGACCCCAGTATTTTCCAACAGAGGTGCAGTCCATCTGTCACAAGGCAACTGTCAACAGGGTTGATTTCCTTAATTCCCTTCCCCTGCAGATAACCCTCAGGGCCTGCAGACAATAGGTTGCAAACTGCTGGCATTGATAGATTATCTTCCTCCCCCTCCATGCAGCCTGGAAAATTGCTTGCTTGTCTCTTATTTAAACAAATTAAATATTCCAACCCCAAACAATGCTAGAGCTAATAATGGAAAGGGGAACCAGTTTAGGATCTGAGTCTCCTACCTCCTGATTCTTTCCATCCCCACCCCTCTGCTCTGGCACCCACTTCTTAGACTTTAACTTAATAACAAAGTGCACAGACGTGTCAGGGACGGTGTGTGCGTGCAGACTCACAGTGTTAACCACAACATCTGAGCAGGGCAAGGGACAAAGAAAGTCATTCCAAAGGTATCAGTGTTTCAAACTGTGGCCTTGATGCAGAGGTTGAGCTGGCAAGGTGGGGAATTACAGTCTTTTCTACATCAGGAACACAAAAAAAAAAGGTCTGCCTTTCCTACTCCTGAGAGGCTCTTCGGCCTCAGCCAAGCAATATTTTCTGCATCAGCACCCAGGGATGGGAGCCAGTCATAGAAAGAACCAAACACGTATCACTGCAGCACCAGCACAAATACAGATACACAGAGCAAGAACACATTTAGTGCTGCAGACTCCTGGAGGCAAGCTTGGCTTGCAGCTCCCATCTATGTGTGCCAAGGTACTTGTGTGTGCTGCAGTACAGGCGTGTTCAAACCCTTGCACTGCAAAATACTGGAGCTATTTTAAGGATGGGAAAGCATCTGGCCAGCAAACAAGCTTTGTGTGTTTGGGCCTGGCTCTTTTTAAAGCCTTGTTCCTTCCAGAATGTTGGAAGTAATGAAAGTGCCTGCAGTAAAATACCTGATAAGCTTCTCCTCCTCTATAGAGAGGGTAAATGCATGTCATTTTCCAATTAGCTCTTGCTCTGAGCAATTATGTTGATCAAATAATTGAATAAGTGACAGGAATGTGAATTCTGGAGACAGTTAATTTCATTCATCTGCCAGTTTTACAGCCTGACTTGCATGAACACATAAACCAGGCTAATGTGTTATTTATAACTTTGAAAATACAATTATAATAGTCAAACATGAAGAGCTGTGTGTGCAGAGAGGAAGGTTTCTGCTAGTAAATTATAATAACAGCATAATGAGGGAGTTTGTTCTTTCTCCCCATCGTGTTGGACAGGAAGGATGTGAGGCTTGTGTTTGAAGGAGCAAACAGGGTTGGTGTCAGCAAGAGCAGGTGGACCAACACCTCTGACCTGAGCGGGGGGCAGAGGGGCAGCTGAAGCCTTACCCTCCTGTTCTGTGAGACATCAGGTATGCGCTGCCCCAGGGACTGTCAGTGAGCTCTAAACATCCCCCCAGCTCCCCATACACTTCTCCCCGAGCACCATTTTGGGGAGAGAAACAGGACTGTGATCCTGTGCACGAAGGTGGGTGCAAAAGAGACCAACTAGGTGTTTCCCACTCGGGATTGGTCTTAGGTGAGCATCGTGGTGCTCTGGAAAAAGCTCCAGTAGAGTGTCCTCCACAGCAAGGTACCTGTAATAACCCTTGTGAACTTGGTCCCAATTTCCACTAAAAGCATCAATTCTGTTTGCAAGTTTTCTTCAGGAAAAATAATAATAATAAAATTAGAAAAAAAAAAAAAAAGAAAAGCTCAACAGGAAAAGCGAACCATTTCATTTTCTTCTTAAAGCTATCTTTAGATTGCCTTAACTTATTGTACCTTTTATCTGAACCCCCTGTAGCAACCTGGCCCGACATCCAACAGGAACTAATTAGCAGACATATACAATAATAAAAGTAGTGCACAGGCATGAGCCACCACCTCAAAGGAGTATTACCTGGTTGAGTGCTACACTGGATGCAAGGAGGAAATCCGTGCAATTAATTGCTTCCTGATTAAAGGCATTTGCAGTCTGGCCCTTAAATCTTCAAGGCCTGAAAAACACGTGCTGAGTAAAATACGGAATTTGCCCACACTGCCCTAGACAGCAGGATTCAGTGCTGTAATTTTGGTTGGAAATAAACGCTTTCCTGTCTAAGCATCCCCAAGTCAAGTACATAGAAAATGCTCCAGTCAAAGCTAAAGGGCCACAGAAGGACTTGTGTGGGTTTAAAACAGTTTCTAAAATAGCTTACTTGAATCCTTACCATTTTCCTGTGAGGACACAATCTTACTGGCATTAATTTCACAGAGCAGGAGGCAACAGAGGCAGAAACCCCAGGAAGTCTCAGGCTGAAAGGCTATTTAAATGGTAATAAACTTCAGGGGACAAAAAAAAAGTCGTGACTGATTACAGGCACAACAGGAGAGGGGGATATCTGGTGTGAAGATGGTGGGTGGTAGTGGCACAGGGGCCGTCTGCTCACTACACACATCACTTGTCGCCAAGCAAACAAGATGGGGTTTAATCCCACTGGGAGGGAGGAGACCTATTTCAGGCCAGTGGACAGCAGGAAGAAAATGCTTACTGTGGAAGGTTCTGGGGCTGGGTAGTGAGGGAGGATGGTGTGTGGCAGGAATCTGGGGCTATACAAGGCAGCACTGGTGCCACATCTCAGAACAGCAGCTGATCTGGCCTCACTGTGCACCCTTCACGAAGTATTATAGTTTTCCCAAGGGCATTTCCTCCACCCTAACACCATGTCACATACTACAGCCAGTCAGATGAAGCAACTTCATTTTAGCATGTCCAACTGTATTATTGCTGCCTCCTGGAAAGTTGCAGCAGTAGTGACTTATGGAGCCACTGAAGAAGGGGCAGGCTTTGTTTGGGACAACAATTTGTCACACTAGAGTTGAAGTCTCCCAGAAACACACACTTTGTTTGCTCATGCACTGCCACTGCTCTAGTGTTGCCCTCCCCCATCACTGCTTTATCAGTTGGTTTTGCTAAATTCAAAAGAAATTTATTGATGCTGCACTCATGAAAAGCACTTCAGCATCTAATTACCTCTGACTATAGGAGTGGGACTCTCAAATTCAAGGGGACATACTGTGCTCTCCAGTGTGTACTAAAGTCAGAGGCATAAAGATTACAGATATTTTCTTGCAACCCTCCCAGTTCCCCTCCTCCTTAGTGACATTGTCACTGGTGAGAGCAAGCAGGGAGTTTTATAGCCTGAATTACGTTAAGACATACACAGACGAACCCAATATGCAGTTTGGCCTCCTTCCTCCACAAAGCCAATCTGGCACCTCTGCTGGAGAAGTTATGTTGTGGAGTGGGAAAACAAACAATCTTGCCAGTTGTTAGTGAGGGGGAGAAAACAGAATGGGAACTGCTTATCAGAGACCTGCATTTTGAGACAAAAATTCACTGGATCCTGAGGAAGGAAGAATTCTCTGCAGAGCTTCAAGTACTCCCCTGGCAACCCCATCCTGCAGGAGCTGGGGCTGGGAGCTAGGCCCTTTCCTATTGTGAATACTGGGTAGGAAGAACTGAAAATGAACATAATGGGAATCCCCAGACTGCAACAGTGCTTTAAACCATAATTAAACCAAAACAAAGCAAAACACATTAGTCTGAACAAATCAGACTGGCACAGACCGTTGTCTATGAATTGTGATTTTTAGGAGAAGTAAGAATGACTGAAAACCCAGGGAACTCAAAGACCAGAAGTGTGGAAAAATTTGAGGCAAAGTTTTTCCTCACTCCATAGTTAGATTGGGGGGGGGTGTTTGAAGTTCAGATCTTAATTTTGCCCAAGTTTGCAAGTGTTTAGATTCACATGCCTCATATCACAAAGAATTTGACTAACTCTCTCACCTTCATGGGCATTTTAATTTTGTCTGGATCAGCTTTCTGGAAGGACAGAGAAAGAACTGTGTGTTGTTCAATTAGCTGATGAGCTGTAGGCTTTTTTTTTTTTTTTTTTAGTAACTTAAAATCATCATTAATCCAAGCATCTCCAAGGATTTCCCAAGCAGCAATGAAGTTAGCATTACCTGCTCTTCTCCTTGGTTCACCTTCCTAGTGCAATACATTCAATACTCACACGTCAACCTATTAGCACATCTGAATAAGATTTCCAACAGCTGCAGGGCCAAGTTATATTTTGGGTAATCTAAGACAATGCCTCAGAGCCCAGCTCCTGCCATGACATGAGGAGATTAATTTCTCAGTTTTCATACCTGCTTTCAGCTCTTATACTGGTCTATGAGAACAAATTGAATGCAATCCTCTCTGCTTGCCTGTACAGCAGGTGCCTGTTTTCCCTGTGCTGAGGCAATGCTCACCAATGCAGAGTTCTTGTGGGACCCCCGCTGGTCACCCTGACAAATCACAGCTCGCTTCAAGTAATTTGGGAAGCAGGTTCTGTCCAAATTCTGGTATTATCTTCTGCTTGCGTGGGAAGTGGGATGCTCAGGCCATCGAAAGGAATCCAGCTACTGCATGGGGAAGAAGAGAGAATAAATACCACAAGGCCACAGAAGGGTGACCTGAAATTGCCTTAAAACAGCCCTCATCAGTCACATAAACCATCGGGAAGGATAATACCACTCAGAGGTCAGCACAGACCAGGCATACTTTCTCTCTGCTGTGTCAAACAGAGCACATCTGTAGCATAGAATCTAGTTCAGCTTGTAATCCTGAAGTTGAGAACTGTATTACAGGGCACATTGAAGCCACTAAAGCTTTATTAGCCAAGTTTCCTAAATACACAAGAGGTAAAAACTGTGTGTCCAGGGTGGCTCAATCAGATTCTGATCTATTACTCCAGTCATCCATTCCCTTGAAATGATAATGAGTGAAAATCTATTTTCCCCACAATTTGCAATGTTTCTCCACTACCTTTCAGAATTTGTAGGGATTGAATGCATATCACAATCCTTCAATGTGTGAGGAAAAAGATATGGCCACTCACAAAGGCCATGCTCACAAAGCTGCTTAACAGATAAGCCCTGTCCCACATTTGATTTTCCTCAGAGAAAATACACTGAAGAGTCTGCAGAACTATTAACATTTTTAAGTAAAAGGTAACCCAATTAAACTGTACAAGTTGCGCAGCAAAGGGAATATAACAAGTGTGTAAGTTATGAAGATTGGTGGTGGGGACCTTCCATGTTAAAGCGCTGGCATGCAAAGCTGCGCTGGCAGCACAAGGTCTCATATGAATTTCAGTCCAATATTGAAGTAAAACCACAAGAGGATACACAAGCTTGACTTTGAGAAGTCATTAAGCTGAATGTCGTACAACTGAAGCTGGGACAAGCGACTTTTCACATCTCTGAAGGGGCTTGAGGTCTAGCAGAGTGTTTTTCGGGCAGAACAAAAGTCACATCTTGGTACATACCTTTAGGAAAAGTAGAAAGGTGAGGTACTCTGCAGAATGCCTGCCAATGGTAAAGAAACACAGCAGGAAAACGTGAAGCATTAAAAAATGAACAGTACAAGAATTAGAAAATGCAGAAGCAAAGCGCTACCAAAGAAGGAAAAAGAGCTAACCCTAACATCTGAACCATTCACTGCAGCATCTTCATCCCCCAGCATGCGACCAAAACATGCCAAGACACACTGCAAGGCAGCACAGCTTTAATGCCCGTGCCTGCCCGCGGCTTGCTGAGGTTTCAGTGCACAAAGCTCCACCTAGTGAGGAGATGGGCTGTACTGCACATTCAGCATTCAAGTAAAGTATGGATGGACTCCAGCCACAAAATAATGTCTGGGAGGTAACAAACCCTAAAAGGTTATGCTACCTTGGTGTTGGTAATGCCTCATACACCCAAAGTCCCATTAGACTAAAGTACAGCCTCTACTCAATTCGAATCAGATACAACGTCGAGAAAACATTTTCTTCCAACTTCATCTCACTCAAGTGACTTTGTAAGAATGTAACTGAAGTGACATCACCTGGCTTTCATCACTTGGCTGTCGCTTATATTCCCTCACAAAGGACTGACCTGGAGCTCTCTGACTTCACTGGAAATTTACTAAGTGGACTCCAGCTGTGAACCGTCCTCTTTTTGGTGATGATAAAATAAAACCAGAAACACACCACTACTGCTGTATGTCTGAAAGTTTTAATACATGGTCTTCATTGTTCAGAAAAGTTATTGCATTAAATCCTAATACATAAATTCACCTGAATTGAGAAAAAAAAAAATCTTCATTTTACACATCACAATTTTTTCACAGCAGCTAAAGGAAACCAGATTTTATATGAAGCTGTGTAAAAAAAAAAAAAAAATCAACAACTTAGTTCTTTCTCAAACCAACAAAACTTATCATATTATTTTTCTGCTAATTGATTTAACATACAAAGCACGTTTCCTTTAATTGCACACCATTTTCTTCATGTTATTGTTTTTCTTTTATTATGACTTCAATAGATTCACAAGTTACAAAATATCAGTGCTACCTAGTGCGGTTTATACAAATCCACGTGTGTTTGAATTGTGACAGGCACAAGAACACGATACATGGTGACCCAAATGAAATGCCTGATTCCCTGGTCCATTAAAACCATGGATGGCATGGTTTTAATGGATCCATGGATGACAGCAAAGACAAAATCAGTGGGCTCTGTGTGCCATAAATAGATTGATGAAGGTCTCAGTGACAGAGGCGTAACAGAGCATCTGGCAGAATTACATTCTACACTTTGTCCTCTGATGAGAGTAAGACCAGCTTGCAATAAAAGCATGAATAGGGTTCTTCTCCAATTCAATCTTATGCCAATGCTGGGAATCAGGAAACTGTAATTCAGCTTCTCGTGTAAAATCCTCAAGCATCGCCATAATCAGTCTTTAGTCCCTTCTCTTACACACATACACAAAGGTTCATCTGTATTTATTCTGCTTTCTTCTGCTGTAAAGAAAATAATGAAATATACTTGTGTTCCTAGTGGAAAAAAGCCATTTCTTCTCCCTCTCCTCCAAAACACCCATCACCACAGAGAGCTCTCCCTTATAATCCACTTGAAAGTATTTCTCAGATTAAGTTAGGCCAGGTTGCTACCTTGGCTCACTTTCAATAGATGACAGAGATTGACTGTATCACTTTGCTATACTTCACTAGGTTATGGTATCAAAAATAGTTCACTGGTGAAATAACGCCTGTGGGGCTCTCTCTTGGACATAACATGTTCACAAAAGCTCTGACTCTCACTGTCCCTCTCCTTTAAAACAAAACTAGAGCTATATCAGTGGGTTTCAACCAGTTTCAGCTAGGAGCAATGAGTTAAGTTACACTTTAGAACATTTTGTATGACTTCCATGATTTGCCAGCAAATGGCCCACACATTAAAAAGCAAATGAGCAGGGGCAGTAGGATGGTTTGCAAAATCTGACAGTTCAAAAGGCATTCAAAGAGCAAGAGGACAAAAACCAGCCACTGAAGTGAAAACTGCATTGAACTAGCACTAGGAAAATAGGCAGAAATGAAGAAGCTACAGAATAAGCAGTTATGCAGAATGTTTTACTAGTGACATCTGTTGTTTGTCTGGGCAGTCACAAGGCATTCATTAACACAATACAAATTGCAAAAGCTTTAATTCAAAAGTGCTAGAGGAATAGGATAGTCAATTATTCCAGTTAAGAACACTTACTGAGGGACTAGGACAAGGTTATTTAGCTGTAACATGACTTTCTCACAAATAAGAAAGTTTGTACCAAAGGGGAAGAAGTTTACACGGCTCAGAAGTTGATGCTGACAGCTTTCTAAAGCCAGCCTTGACACAAGACTTGGCTTATTTTATTTTCACAGACATATACTACACCAGCCAGCCGTCACCATTCAATCCAAACATACGAGCATTTGTATAAACTTCCCCCATTAACATTAGAGTTCCCAACCGAATTCTCGTGATTTCTGCAAAAAAGGTAGTTCTCACTGGTTATTGCTGTATTACAGGAAATGATACTATCCTTTGCAGCAGGCCCTGTATTTTGGAGTTCACATCATTTGCGAAAGGCCTCAATACAGTCTCTTCATCAGGTGCTGCTTCCGTACAGCAAAACTAGCCTTCTGTCTCTTCCAAACAAAACAATACCTTCAGACTCTCTCCCTGCCCTGCAAGTCTCAAGAAGATTTAAGCCTCTTCACTGTGGTTTCTACCAGCAGATAAAGGCCCATAATGAATTTATGACAGCACCTCAAGCAACAGTGCACACTTCATTCAGTGGACATGACCCCAGTGAAATCCATGAGAAAACATAGAAGAGGAACACAGAGAGTAAGAGACGCAGTTTATTCTCACTCCTCTTGAAGGGAACAAATGGATCTGACAGCAGGTTTGTTTTCAGAGAGCTGCAATTTAAGCTGACAGGCAAGCTTATTAAAATAAGCCCCTTCACCTAAACACCAAAACCTATACTGAAAACACTTTTAATTTAGATCTGCCTCTGAAATGAATGAAAAAAACCTGAATGTTACAGAAACTGAAAAGTCTGCATTGTTCTCACACAAATCACACTGAGCAAATCCATGTCATTTATCTGCAGTGCTGAGTCACATCTGGATGGTGGACGTGCCTCACCGAATACCACACCCTGGGAGTGCTCCAGCACTTCCCCTCCTACCAGCACTCTGCCTTAAAAAAGAATTCCTACAGTGACATGATGAGAATTGATCTTTTCCTGCCATACGCTGTACATATATTTAGGACTTTCACAGACAATTAGCCAAAAATTGCGTATTATAGTTACTTCCCAAGTCACAAACACTACAGAAGCCCTTCTTACAGGATATGCCATCCGAGGACATGTGACCTCGACCTTCTCACTTCCCCAGCCCCCATCCACCAAGTAAAGCATTGCATGCTTGCAGGCATTGATTCCAAGTCTTCAGCTTCTGAAATGCAGCAGTTAAAAGCTCTGCATTTCTCAGGGACTCAAAAAAACCCCCACTTAGTTCATGTATTCAAGGTACAACATTTTCAGTAAGTGCTTCCACAGCCTGTCCACGGGAACAGTTCGGTCACTTCACACCACAGAGGTGGTACTTTCCGGATTTACACGCATCAATCTTGAAGCATTTCTCAGATCCTGTAGCTGCTTGGCTGGCTTTCCAACTCCTTCCTCAAATCTTTTTTCCACAACAGGAAGGACAGTTTCATACAGGAAAGAGGCATTCTGCCTAATGAATGCCTTTTTCTCAGGGTCCTGTTCACACCGTAAACTGTAATCAACATGCTGGACAGCCACCAGGATGATTTCCACGAGACTCTCCAAAAGAACCATATGCAGCTCTGGAAAGTAAAGCTTTAAAGCTTCCTCCAAGAAGGCCATAGTCTGCTTAGTGAAAGCTACTACAGTGTAACTAAGGTTGACCCAGCAGTCATCACCTGTGTATTGGTCAAAATTGCCCACCCCACAGCTCCTCATCTCCTCCCTGAGCTTCCCCAGTGCCTCTGGAGTCATCAGGTTCATCTTTCTCCACATCTCCTCGGAGTTGCGGTGCTTGGTGGCCTCGATGATGATATCCTTGTAGCTCTGTAAAGCGCCTTTGATATCCTTCACCAGAAGGGCATGAATGATAAAGGTGAGATCCAATCCAATCTCGCTAAGCTGCTTGCAGTGCTCTTTAGCTACCTTGGGTATTAATGAAAAGCAAAGGATGTTATTAGTGTGCAGGTCCATTTTATGTCTTACCAGTTTATCAAATTTATTACTGTCAGAAAAGTAAGAAGTACTATTCATACTTCACTTGTTTCTCATGCTTTAAGAATCTCCTTATTAATGAGAAAGTAATAACTGAAAGATAAACCCCGGCTGCCAAAAATACTCTGCACAATTACATTATGACCCACCCACACATCCATAACCTGAAAAACTTGGTCTTGCAAAAAAATATGGAAATGTACTCCTTGGAAATCAAAGAGGAAGTCTTGATGTACTTATAATTCAAATGCAGCTCACCTAAACTATAGAACCTCCTACTGGTTAAAGGCAAATTAAGAATAAACACATTTTGCATTTCCAATACAGGCAAGTTTTTTCCTGCTGTGTATTTTTAATCTTAATGCCTTCCTCTGTTTAACTGAAAAAACCCAAACCAAACTCAAATGAGAATATTAGCCTCTCAATGCAGGAAACAACTCTGGAGACCCACATGAGAGTCAATAACTAAACTCAGGTTAGACAAGAGGATTTAAAGCTTTGCAGCCTCTGTTTTGACTCTCGTGTCCCACCACCCTCTTTGGGCCCTCTTACCTTGACACACTCCGCCGCAGTTGACAAACTCTCTTTGCTATCAAATACTTGCTTGCTGAAGGCATCGACAAACATCCTCATGGAAGAGCGGGCCCAGACAACGAAGGCCGAGTAGCAGCCGTTGTTGCCAGCAAAGTCCGTCTCAAACTCTCTGGCCGTCTCTAGAAGGCTGGTGAAGAAGACGTGGCAGAGCTTGTGGATGTAGAGCAGCGTGGCGCCCTCGATGCGCAGCTGTCGGATGGCCGTCTGCACGGCGGCTGCCCGGTTCTTCAGGAAGAGCTCGCAGGCCTTGGTGGACTGTCCCAGGCGAATGAGCTGGGACACGGCTCGGCGGGTGGCCCGCGGCCCCCCTCGCAGCGACCGGTCTGGGGACAGCTCGAACACCAGCACGTCTGTCAGCTGCCGGACCCGCTCGTCCACCTTGGCCCGCAGCTCCTTCACGGGCTGGCTCACAGGCTTGTCCGCCAGGTACTCGTTGAGTTTATCCAAGAGGTCCACTGCCCCCTCGAAGTCCCGCTGCGCAATGCAGACATCCAGGTCCTCAGGCAGCTCCTGGATCCACTCGAGTGAGAGGTCTACAACCTCCTCCTCAGCAGAGGGCTCTTCCTCCTCCTCTTCCTCCTCATCCTCATCGAAGGGGTTGGTGGATTCGGGGGGCGTTGGGGCAGGCCGGGGCAGGGCCTCCTGCTCCAGGCGCCGCTTCTCGCTGAGGGCCCGGTTGCGCTTGGTCTCCTCCAGCACCTCCAGCCACTCCTTCTTGATCTTGGCGTTTTCCGCCTGGAAGATGCGGCTCTCGGGGAACATGAGCAGCTTGAACATGTCCTTCATGGGCGGGTTGTCCTTGACGTTGACCACGGCCAGCCCGTCGAGGGGGTACAGGGCGTCGTATCGGTAGGCGCCGCGCCGGTTGGGCAGCGCGGTGGCCACGAGCAGGCAGTCGTTCATGAGGAAGGCATGGACCCGCTGGATCTGCGCCATGTGATCCGCGTCGTACTCCACCAGGTCCCCGTTGTACACCAGGTACTTGCCAGGGCTCTCGGGCAGCAGGTCGCGGCAGCCCTCCACCTTCTCCAGGAGGGTGGTGAGGGTGCGCTGCCGCCCCTCCTCGCTGGCCGCCGCGTCCTTGGCCGACAGCGGCAGGAAGGGGTCGGCGGCGGCGGCGCGGCGGGCGCCCAGCGCGGGGTCGTCGCGGTCGGCCTGGAGGAGCAGGGCCTGGGTGACGGCCTCCATGATGCCCTTCTGCTCGGTGAGGATGTGGCTGAGCTGGTACATCTCGCTCTCCAGGTAGCTGATTTCCCGCGCCGTCTCGATGAACTGCCGGTAGTTCTGGTACACGTTGCGCTTCAGGCTCTGCGCGGTCTCCTCGCTCAGCGCCTGGATGCGCTGCCGGTGCTCCTGCAGGTCCCGGTCGCCGTCCGACTGCTGCGACAGCTGCTTCACGTACTCGCCCGCCGCGAAGCCGCCCGACTCCAGCTGCCGCCGCAGGCGGCTCCCGCCGCCGCCGCCCTCACCCAGCGACAGCGCCATGGCCATGGCCCCGCCGCTCCCGCCGCCCGGCACCTGCCCAGCCGCCGCCGCCGCCGCCGCCGCCGCCTCCTCCTCCTCCGGGGGGAGCGCCGCGCCTGCGCCGCGCTGTACTGCCCGGCCCGGCCGGGGACGACGCGCCGGGAAGGGGCCGGGAATGCGCCGCCCTCGGACGGGGTCGGGAGCGGACGGCCCCGACGCGTGCGCACTGGGGGAGGACCGGGCGGCATTCCATGGATCGCCGCTGCGCGTGCGCGGGAAGGCCGTCGTTTCCCGGCGCATGACTTAACCAGCATGGCGGAACCTATGGCCGGGATGGAGGATGGGGATTTCTTGTTGGCGCTCAAGCTCCAGAGAGAGTGGGAAGAGGAGGATAAAGCAGCGGCAGCGGAGGAGGCGGCGGCAGCAGCAGCAGCAGCGGCAGCAGCAGCAGCAGCAGCAGCAGCAAAGCGCGCCGATGTCCCGCCGTGCCGCGCGTCCTCCCGCCCGCTGTCGGTGGTGGACGAGGCGTGGGAGCTGCTGGACCCCAGCCCCGACGTGCACGCCCTGTTCGTGCACTTCAACCAGACGCTCTTCTGGAGGAAGCTGGAGGCTGTCACGGTGTCCTGGAGCCCCCGCATGACCAGGTGCGGCGCCGGGGGCGGGTGGCGGTGCGGTGACGCCGCTGCGTGTCGGGAGCTGCCCGCCCTACCTCTGATGGGCCCCGGCGGCTCTCGCTGCGGGGTCAGAGCTGTGGGAAGAGGCCGTCACCTGTCGAGCAGCCGTGGGTCTCGCCGCATGGCTGGGAGTCTCGGGGAAGGGAGGAAGAGCTGTCATTTGGCACTGTGTGCTGCTCCTGCAGCCGCCCTAGGCGCGCGGTGCTTCTCCTCGCAGATACTTGGATGTCCCGCATCTCTGGCATAGCTAGTACAGCAGGACATGGGCGGGTCGCTGTCACTGTCTGGTTTGCCTTTCATCTGTCGTCCCTGGCAGCCATCAGTGGCTTTTCCCGGGGTGAAGGCAAGCTCGGAGAGACGTTGAAGAAATCACTGTGTATGTGGAAACCTCGCTCATGTTGCAGCTCTGACTCTCAGTGTTTGCGATAGTTTTACAGCACAGCAGAAGGGCAAATATGAACGAATAATGGTATATCAGCAAAACTTAGAACAGACTGGGAAGGGGAACATACAAGAATCTGAGACTGAACAAAGCCAAAAAGCTTTGAGGTGCGTGGTGCAGTTCTGCAGAAGGTGCACTTGGTGGTGGCTGGAGTTCTGCCCTGTCTTATCAACTCTGCTGGTTGCAGCATCCTTTAGACACTTGAAAATCGTTGGATATTGAACTGGTAGAGGACTAACGCAGTAACACAAAAAGGAAAATTAAAAAATAAAGTGTTTTCTTCTGGATTAGCACACAGAAATGATGGTTTAGTATGAGTCAAAAATTTAGGGAGGGTGAGGAGTGAAATTGAAGCAACCAGCAGTTAAGTCAGTGTTTTCTGCTGTGAATCTCTGGCCTCCATTTAGTGCATTTCACTCCATCACGAGTTCCAAAGGAAACAGTCCTCTGCCTCCTAAACAGGTTTTTCTACTGTGAGATACTTGTCATGTTTTTTTCTTTGGTTAACAATGCTGAATTTTTCAAGTAACTACTAGAAGCTGTTTTTTTCCTATTCTGAGTGACCTAGCATGTGTTGGAAGGGGATGACACTTTAACTTAAATTCTCCGTTTTCTTCATGTACTACAGAAACAAGTAGATTTTCATATTTTCTTCCTGTGTCTCTTTTCAGCTCTGCTGGCATCTGTAGTTATCATGAAAAAAGTGGATTGTGTTCCATTCGTCTGAGTGAGCCACTACTAAAGTTAAGACCAAGGAAGGATCTCGTTGAGGTATTTGAAGATTGGTCATGATTCTGCACATAAAATTTATTGTGTTTCCCCCTGCCTTGCTCCATATGAACATTTTACATTTCTTAGTGAGATTCTTACAGACAGTAACTTATAGGTCATAAAACAGTGGTAACTTTACTGTTATATTTGTGTGGCTTGTGTTGCAGTGTCATGGTAGTATTTAGTTTTATGTTTCTAAATGGATGACTCCAAGTAGGAGTCTAAAGTCCCTTGTTTATTTCACTGACTTTATAAAGAGGAAGACCACAAGTTTTTAACTCCTATATTTTCCTTTAGTATTCAAAACAAACATGGACTGTAGTTTTGAAAGGGTCAACAGCAGAAAATATGGGTGTAGAATGTGACAGGTAACATGACTTTGTGTTGCTTGCTGTGCCTCTGTCAGAACTGCTTCTTTGACCTGGCTGAACATTCAGATTTGCATAATGAACAGAAATGCTGTAGGTGGCTCTTTTTTGGATTGTAGAGGGAATAGTCTGTGACTTAAATTTGAGGATCATTTCTTTTTTTGGGAATGTCACTTATTGTAGAAATATTCTCCAATATGTTTTTGTAGTATGGGAATTTGGTTTGATAGGTCAAAGTATTATGTTTTTGTGACCCAGACTGGACATGTGAATGCTCAAAGAAAATATCAGTACCACAATGTAAAGGGCAAAAATACTTGCAGCCTAATTTTGAAACTATCCGTAATGCTTTGCAGTAAATATCTAATGATTTCCATCATTTCAGACACTGTTGCATGAAATGATCCATGCCCTGCTCTTTGTTACTCATAACTACAAAGATCGCGAATCTCACGGGCCAGAGTTCTGCAAACACATGCATCGCATCAATCGCTTGACTGGAGCCCATGTCACAGTAAGCATAATCCTCTTAACCTGATTTAATAGAGCCTTCTTCCTGATTTGGTGTTTCAGTTGCCCAGTGTTGTATGAGTAATATGCTTGTTCTTGTGAGACACTCCACAGTGGGTACCAGCACAAATTTGCTTCCAAGTTTGTGCCAATTCCATAGTTATTTTGTTGGGGACAGTGGTGAGAGCAGGTTGAGGAAGATTTGGTGAGGTTTTAGTTGTAAAATTTTCAGGTATACTCTGTGTAAGTATTTTTCTTTAAGCTTTTATGGTAAACTTGAAACAGCTTAAAAATAGCAGGGATAGAACAGCTCCGTGTTCGGAGTAGTATTTGTGGAAGAGCAGTTTATTTTAGTTCAGATTTATATCAGTAGAGGCTAATGATATCTGTGTTGGTGATACTTTAAAATAATGTGTCTGATAAGATCAATTAAAGTAGTAACTGAGGGGAGAATATTGGTATCGTTTGCAATGCATTCTAAACAGTCAGGGTGAAATTGTAGATAGATTTCCAAAGTGATTTTGTTGCAGTTCAAACAAGATAGCCGAGACATATTCCTACACATCTTTCTCTTTTAACTGGTGATGTAAAAACCATAGCAGGAGTGGCAAAAATGGAATGGTAATGGATTTAAAAAAAAAATAAATATTATAAGCTACTGATACAAAAATAGAAACTTTCTGAATGACCATTTTATTTTTCTGGGTTTTTTTGTTTGTTTTTTTTTTTTTAAACTTAGATTTATCATAACTTTTATGATGAGGTCAATGTGTACCGGCAGCACTGGTGGCGATGCAACGGCCCCTGTCAGAACAGAGGACCTTACTTTGGGTACGTGAAGCGCTCGATGAACAGAGCACCCTCTGCACACGACCTCTGGTGGGATGACCATCAGAAGACATGTGGGGGCACGTTCACAAAAGTGAAGGAGCCAGAGAACTTCTCAAAGAAATCAAAGCATAAAACTGAGACAGCAAAACTTCCACATTTCAAGTCGAAGAGCAAAGGTATTTTATTATTTCTTTTCCTTTTCCAAACTGATTTTTTCCCAAACTTTTTCTTGGAACATTTATGGACCAACCACTACATAAGCTTTGTTTAGATGTTACTGTTATCTACCAAAGAATAGGACCTGGGTTTTTTGTGCATTTCTAGGCTTCTTTTCAACCGAATTGTCTGCAAAAACTTTAGTTTGATGCACTGTTTTCAAGTAGCAGATTCACGTGTGAAGCACGTCAGATATTAAGCCCGTGATTTTTAAACGGAAAAGTTAGTAATTTTTTTATCTTATTTTGCAGGCAAGACACAAATGCATGGTACTCAAGATCTGATGCCGTTTAGTGGAATGGGTTACCGGCTTGGAGGAGGAGACAGCGTGCTTTCAGAAAAAGACACAAATGCCAGCAGCAGCATTGGAAACAGTGAAGCACATGGTTCACAGCATCATTCACCAGTAAGGACAAGACCAATCCCTAAAAATGAGATAAAATTTGAAAAATTACCCCGTAGTGGCATCTTTCCACTTCATACCGGTGATGAAAGTGAGAACAACAACTTAGCTTTAAAGCACGAGTTTCCTAAATCCCCTGTTGCTAACACAGAAGATTACGAGAACTACAGTGGATTGCCTGCTAGAATGGCTCGTGTTAGGGAATTCAAGTCAAACCAAGGCTCTGCAAATAACAAGAGGGCTCTACCGTCTCCCAACCGGCCACCCAAACAAATTTGTCTAGAGCAGACAACAACAGCTCAGGTTGCATCTGAGAAGAAAAGCTTAGAATGTATTAATACACCACAGCGATGGCCAAAAATGGAAGACAAAACTGCCTTTGAAAAGTACTTCATTAAAAAAGGAGGTAGTGATGTCACTTCAAGTGTAAATACACCTATGAAAACCAAAGCTGAATTTACACAGTCCTCTGCAAGTTCTAGCAATCCTGTGAGGCAGGATAAAAATGTCAGTTTTTATGTCAGTTGTCCTGTCTGCGAAACTGAAGTTTTGGAATCTAGAATAAATGAACACCTTGATTCTTGTCTTGCGTGAAACAGCAGAAAGCTGTCTCAGAAAGATAAATCAGGGCTGAAAACATTGCTTGAAAATTACTGTGCTCAGTTTTTACTTAACTGTGGTTACATTCCTGTGTGCCTGTTCTGAAATGGAATTTAAACTGTTACTGACCCCCCTATCCTGACTCTAGTAAGTAAAATCTATGAGGAATACTGCTAGCAATATTGGTAAAGACTGTTCCTGGACATGCCATAAAACCCCTCATGACTTTTTCAGTTAAATTTCCAGTCCTCTGCTGGTCACATTAGGATTAAAACATTACATTACTTGACAGTCTTTTATTTTGCTCCTTTTGGAAACCAGCCAGTTTGGTGGTTAGTACCTAAGAGGCCGGTCAGTTGAGTACTAAAGCCATTATGCAAGTTAGGAATGCCTGACACATGTTTTCTGTGTAAGCTTCCTGAAACATTAATAGTTCTCTTGTTGCACTAAAGTATTTAACGGGTTAAACATTAAAGAGCTTGATACTTTACCTGTAGAACTGTAAATATGTTTGCTTAAATGTAAAATTGTTTTAGAATGGTTTTTAAGCAAAATCGTTTTACGTCTTGCTGCTGTCATTTTAAATGGCTGTATCAGCCTGGTTTGTGCGTTTACTTACTGCTTTCTTAACTCTTTTAAAACAATTTATATTTTTAAAAATATTGCCACAACAGAAGTTTAATGTAAATAGTTTTGTTCTTGCATACTCTAAATAAATTGTTACTAGATTTTAAATTTCCATTAAGCCTGGCCATTTTGTGCTACTTACCAGTGGGTTCTTCTGTGTATCTGATAACAATCTGGTTTAATAGAGCCCTTCTGAATTAACACTTTTCCTTCTTAAATTTCCCTGTAAAAACAGGCGCTGGTGAATACAGATTGCATCAAATTCTGCTTTTCCAACCTATTTTTAAAACAGTTTCACTTCAGTTGCACTACTGTGGAAAATTTTACAAATACTGATTCTAAAGCTTGATTTGCCATGTTAATTTTCCATAATTCCGTCTTAAAACTGCAGCATCTATCAGTGTTTCCAGTGAGACTTGACATTTACAGGGACAGGACTACCCAGAAGGGTTTCTACTGTCATATGTTTTTAAGATGAGGACGAAATTTACACCACAAAGGGTCTCTCACATCATGAAGCATTTTTGAGAGATATTTCCATTATGATTGTTCTCATCAGTTTCCTCATTTGTCTTTCCTCCCGTGACTGATAAGAGTAAAGGAGAAGGAAGGACTGTAGGTATTGTTGAATGTGGTCTGGTTTTTTTTCCCCTAGTGTCTTCTTTTACTTCTAAATTGTTCATTTGAACAACAAATAGAAAACAAATGTGGGATTTGACCTGGGGAATTTAGTGAGAGGGGAACTCAAGCTATAGGCAAGTTCTGTCTCTAGTATACAAATGTCCTAAAATAGATCTGTTGTCCAAACAGTTGAGCAGTTCTGGACCAGCTGTGGAAAAACAGCACCTCTGCTCATGTGTGTTTTTACAAGGAAGTATTCTAATGCCAATATCCCTTTAATTCAGAAAGAAAGGCTCTGCAGTTGCCATGGCAGGCTATTAGTAATGTGTCATGGCTGCCTTCTTTTGGGGTATGTTATTACAAATGCTGTTTCTGTAAAATGTTGTTCTTGAATACAGTGTTCTACCCACAATGGTAACAATGACTACCAGTATGGTTTTAAAATATGCTGCTCAGTTTGGGTCAAAGGTGAGAAATTTCATCTTCTCTATCAGTTGACTTTGTCCAGAGTGAGTTTGGATACTGCCTAGAACAACACAAGCTGGTAATGAGTCTTGGACAAACATGCTTCACCGAAGTGCAGCATCAAGTTGCCTGACTGGAAATTTGAGGAACAAGTTAATAGACTTGATTTCTGGGTCAAAGCAGATATGAAAGAGGGTCAAGTGCATGCATGCTGTTTGTCAACAAATCGTTCTGCAAACTAAAGGCAAAAGCCATCTCATATTGTGGTGATCTACTGGAATTGCTCTGAATGATTCAGAGAAGAGTTCTAGAGGTTAAACTACCTTATTGTAAGAGACTGCTTTTGAGTTGCCTTCAAACTGGTTATGAGGCAAGAAATCTCGAAGGTCAAATATTTTCAAGCATTTTTTACTTTATGGAAATGTTTCTTAGGAATTTTTCATAAAACTTGTATTCTGATGAAGCACAGGGCAGAGTTTTTCTCTGGACTACTACAGTGTCTTAGTATCTTGCAAGAAGATATGTAATAGAAATAGTCTGCTTTAAAATGCTTTAAAATGTTTTAAAAGCATTCTTCTATCCTTTAGCATCTCCAGTAGTCGAGTCACTATTTGTTTTCTCTCAGGATATCTGGGTCACCTGGGATGCATATTCTCACAGCAAGTTCAACCCTAATGCCCATACATAAGCTGATGAGCGGGCTATTTACGTCTAGGTGGAAGCATGCCAGGCAGGGCAGGTGCTGCTGCCCAGACTCTGTAATTAGGATTTAGTTACCTGAGACCCCCTTCTAGGAACATTTTCCAAGAGAACAACCATAGAAATACTGTCAATTTGGAACAGGCTGTGCTACCTGCCTGTGGCCCAGTGTTAGTGAGGAGGGACACCAGGTAATAATCTAGTACAAAATCAAAGCCTAGAGAGGGCTTAGTCATAAGTGGACAAGTAGTGAATAATTCCTGAGGTGCAGGCTTCTCTTGCTGCAGCAGGAGGACGTGCCATAGACTAAGTGGTTTGTGGGGGTTTTCTTCTTCCTCGTGTGTTCTTCTGGAGCTCCTCAGTTCTCTTGCATTTTCCATACATGCTGCATCTCTCTACATCCTTCAAGTAAAGCAGGTTGCGCTGTAATGAAGGGTAGCAGCGAGATAGAATAAAGGGTGAGTTTCTGAGGGAAAAGCCAGGTGGCCATTTCTTTTAAGTGGTTGGAGCAATTCTTCGTGGTGGTGGTATGATGCAGACTACTCTGGCTGAAGAATGTTAAGAAACTGCCACCACAGCAGTTTGCTTCATCGCTGCTGGATCTGGTCGTCCTAGAACACCATGTCCATGCTGTCGCATTTTGCCACCTTAAATTGAAAGGCCACTAAAAGGTTGGACTGGTTGACTTCCTGAGGTTACACCTGACCTACATCGCCGCTGTGAGCATGACTGTTGCTGCTGGATGTGGTGAAGGCAGCAGTGAAACAGCTGCTTTCCAGCAGCTGCATCTTACCAGTTAGCTGGCATTCATCACTTTTACCCTCCAGATTGAAATGCCCAAGTTCCTACTTGCATCTAGATTATTGCAGCTGTCTTGAAGTCTTGCACTTAAAGAAACTATCTTTTTCCATGTGAATGTAAAGACTCTACATAAAATTACCCTTGAAGTGTATTTTATGGGTAGACAGACCACGAAAAAGACTTGCATTTCACTACATGTGCGTGTTTTCATATACTCGTATCTGTGGAAAAAAAATGACAAGACCCTGGGCTCTGTGGAGCTTTAGGATTCTTCAACAGGCCGTTAGGTGGCACTCCTTGCATGTAAGGAATAGTTTTTTCTTCCTCTCCGACCTATGCGGGTAGAGAGCTCCGAGTACAGGATTAGCAGGCTCGTATTTCACCAACACCTGCACTCCAGGCTGACCACGGATCAGCAGGAACTCTGTCTGAACCACGAACAAGTTAAAGGAGGAGTAGGGAGGGAATATCTGCAACTAGGTGGAAGATGAGAAGTAAATTTACAACTAACTAGGTGTTCTGCGAGTGATGCTTCTGGCTTTGCTGCAAGAGGGACTTGGGAGATGCGAGAGTAGCTCCTTTCTCTAATTCAGGGCTCATGAGAAACCCCAAAGGCATCCCTTTGTGGGCTACAGTTACTGCATCGCTTCTATCCATTGCAGTGACAAAACCTATTTTCTGTCACCATTTGGCATCAACCCAGCTCAGCAAGAGAGGCAGGACAGAGTTTTAGGAAGTCAGAGAGGCTGATAAAACCCAAAACTTAACTCTTGTGCCTCGCCTAAGCCAGGGACCCAGAGAGATGTGACAGGCTCAGGGAAGGGTAGTCTACCAAAGGTGTGAAAGCTTAAAATGGGACTCAGCCATGGCCTTAATTCTTGTGTTTCCTTTTAGCTTCTGCCAGGCCAGGCTGCTTTAAGACTAGATTAAATTTCTAAGCAGGTGCAGCAACCTGGCCTGAATAGCTCACACTATTTCTGTTCCATCCATCCTATATCTTTCACATCATTTCACCTGCTTTTATTCCGTAGTAAGTCTTAGACATGACATTTCCTAAGCTGCATAACAAAGAATGTTTGAAGGGGCAAACCCCAACAAGCCAAGTATCTGGCTCCACCACTGCTTAATTTAGAAGCAGTGATTATTTTTCTTTAACTGATGTCAACCTCTGGATCATGATTTCTGTGTTCATTGCAAGTACCTTCTCTTCAGAGATCTGTCACTAGTGGCATAGAAAGTCTGGGGTAAGATCTGGGCTAGAGCTCAGTAAGCCCTGGTACTGAATTATAGGAACATGGTTTAGTTGAGGATTTTAATGTTTCTCATGGTTTCATTAAGCAACTTACCAGTGTCAGGAACAGCCATAGGGCCTCTCTGCTCTTACTCCACTTCCTCCCTAGTGCTTCACTCCCCTGCCTCTGCCTTCCCACTGGCACTGGTCTCTTCCCAAAAGCATCCCATTAATGACCTGCTTTCTTCCCCAGAAGATCTGCTTGGTGGGTGTGCTGCAACTGGTTTGTGAGAAGTTTTTGATTCACTAGGAGGGTGTGGGTTGTGTTTGGAGGGAGGCACAAAGCTAAAAAGCTGTGCCAACGACTTGCGACTTGCTCGGAGGGTGCCCACCTGCAGATGTCAGGGCAGCCTCTGCAGTGCTTGCCTGCAGCTAGTGCAGGGCAGGACACAGCCTGCCCACTGCACCACCAGCAAGACAAACTCCCTGCTGTGTGACAGGAGCACACGGCTTGGCACAGGCTGCTCCAGGTAACGTGTCTGTGGAAGGACACGGCACAAATCCTGGGCTGTTCTGGCAGATGGCAAACGGAAGCACACCCAAAGGGAAGAGTCATCCTGAGGATAAATCAACACACCAGAGGCTTCGTAAAGGACAGCACCTTTACCAAGTGGAGTATGGACAGCTGTTAGTAATGGACTTCAGTCTTAAAACTGACGTCTTCCTCAGGATATGCTGCCTAAGGAACCTTTGGGTTATTTCATTTGCATTTAGCAGTACCTACATGGGAAATTTAATTTAAACATGAGAAAACACTTTATTGCAGCAAGGGCGGCTGAACATGGGAACAGGCTGCCCGCAGAGGTTGTGGAGTCTCCATCCTTTGAAGATACTCAAACCCCAACTGGACATGGTTCTGGGCAGCCAAATTTGAGGGACCCAGGTCAAGGGTAGAGGAGCTGGACCACACCACCTCCAGGAGCCTCTTCCCACTTACACAGCCCTGGGTTTCTGCCTAAAAACTGTAGGAGCACTCTGGGACAAAGTGAAATCACAGCTGAAGGAAATTAGGATCCACCTGCTTGCCCTTGCCCTGGCACAGCCCAGGAGTGCTCACATCATCTCTAACCCTCTGTTGACTTCCAGTCACACATTTCTTCCTCTCCCTATAAGGTTTGGTGCGGGCAGCTCTCATCACTGCCATCACCCAGACCATGGGAATGAGGGATAAATTCCCCATCCCATGCATCAGAGACTGGGGGATTTCAGGTGGAAGCCAAGCACATGCCCCAACACAAGGACAGGTACAAGGAAGCTCTGCCCTGCCAAGACTAATTGCTGAATCCTTGCCAAGTCACACAAGGAAGGGAGGATTATCAGCCCTGCAGACAGCATGAATTAAAACTCAGACTTAATTAACTTTGAATGTACCTAGAAGAGATTTAGAATGCAGGAAAAGCATCCTATGAGAGGAAATAGGAGGTATTTCAGGCAGTTCAAACCCCTAAAAGACTATTCAAGCTACTAGACAACATTTCCCACACAGTTTGGCAATTAAGACAACACCCAACTGCTAACATCTGGGCTAACACTTGGGTCATGAAATGCAGTTATGCTGAAGCAGACACATGTCCCAAGTGGTAAGCAATGCCGTGACCCTAGAGCTGTTTGTGAGGCATCATGGACATAAGCACTGGACACAAGCTTGTCTAATTCCACAAGGAATGAGGAGACCTCAGTTTGGAGGAAAACACTGAAAATTTTTTGCCTTAATGCTGCCTTCCTCTTAATCCCTGTACAGGATGCAGAAACGTTATCTTCACTGAGACTTCTGCAGTGGCACATTCCCACCCTGAACCAATGCTTTGCATCCTCAGTTGTGGAGGCACTGAACCATGCAGAGGGTCACAGTCAGGCCATGCATGCCCTGCAGCAGGTAATGAGGGAAACACTGCCTTAACTTCTTCAGGAACAGGATTGGAGGTCTCTGTTGTTGGGCAGGCATTCTCACTCAGCTATGATTTGTTACAGGATGGTTTGATCCCAGTCCTGAGTGTATTTTTACATGTGGCTGTGGATTTGTGTTGAAGTGATGCCATTTTCTGGAGATTACCAAGTAGATGTCCTGTCTATGAATCCTGCACCAGTTTTCAGTCTCCTTCTCTCTACCTTTTTCCAACAGAAAGACTATCTGAGCCTGATGTGAAGCTGCTCTTGGGTGGTTGTTGCAAGGTTAAGATATGCTGAACAGAGTGCCAAGGTGAAGGGTATGTCCCATGAACTGCCACAGTTCAGCTGTGTCCTGTATAACCCTGCTACCTCTGCCAAAAGAGGAGGAGCACCCTCAGCAATTCAAGGTTAGTTGGCCTCCCTGGGATGGTCAGCAGCTTGGCACACTGAGCTTTTGTCAGGCAGCACCAACTGAGGGCAAGTAGCAGCAGCAGCAGCCCAAAGCTATGCTGTTGGGTATGACTTGGTAATCACTCCTCTTGAGGCATATTGTGCAAATCTCAGCCAAGACCTTGGGTAGGCCCTGACCACCTGGAAAGGCAGCCGCTTCACACATAAAAAAATCCCAAATGTTTTCCTCAGCCAAGTACGTTATAATTTAATCCAACCCACACCCGAGGGGCAAAGCAGAAGAGCCTGCAGCTCGGCTGACAGCAGGTGTGACAATGCTTGGGGAGCCATGGAAGGATGCAAAAGTATGGGTTTAGCAAGGGGCCAGAGGCCCCCGCGTACATGCAGGAACAGAAATGACAAGGGGAGCTCAGAAGCAGAGCGGTTGCTCTCCAGGCACTCTTGCATGAGGAAACCTGAGCAAATTTTCAAACCTACTGCAAGCACTGCAGGTGTAACCACCCACCTCCCACTTGCCTTGCTCCTCCATCCCTTCACCGGTGGCTGTTTAGTCCTAGATAAGGCTGAGGACCTAAACTGGAGCTTACACCATCGTAACGAACAGCAGTAAAAAGCCTCCCAACCAGAATCCACCACCTTTGATTGCTCCAGGTTAAAATAACTTCTGTTTGTGCTGCACAATGTCCTCCACCTGCAAAGGGCCACGTGTCTCTCTGTCACCGCTGGGACGTGCAGAACGCGTTGCTCCGCTCCGAGGCGTGTCCTGGTCCTGGCCAGGACACCGAGGGGCCGCACTCCTTCTCCCTTCCAGCCGGCCCCAAGGGCAGGAGCCCGAGGCATTTCTGCATCCCGCTCCGGCGCTGGGGTCACAGCCCGGCCGCAGGCGGCCCCCGCCTCCTCGCCGGGGTTTGTATAAGCCCCGGGTTTACCGTAAGGTACGTGCCCTGCCCGCTCATGTCATTGCATAACCTTGCACGGTTGCGAAGTCGCAGAACTCTCAGCTACACACAGTCGTTTCGTACTGTGCTATTTTAAATAAAGGGGATTAAAAAAAAAAATTAAAAAAATCAAAGCTAAAATGTTCTCATACTGCAGGTGGGAAAAAATAATCAGAGGAGTTTAGAAATTGCTACCTACGCCTACTGAAGAGTTCTTCTAGATATAACAAATATTTAGGACCAAAGAGAGTTAACTTTACAGTTTCTGCTTGTTCATTAAAATATGACTGTGCAGAACACGTGCCCAGCACCACATTACTTACTACTATGTTGTGGCTGGGGAAGGGGAAGTTAAGGGAAAATAAATATGCCTAATGTGACAGCTCAAACCTTGCTCTTTGCTATCGGGAACACCATCAGCTGGACTCTAATCTCAGAAAACAGATTGTTATTACCCACGGCCCTTTGGCAAACATTACTGGTGTCCACAATCGTATTTTCCCTCCAGAAATATATTCTCCTTGATGTCCAAGGATGTTGCCAAGTGCTCAAAGTAAAACAGTTCTTCTGAAGTATCTTTCAGTTCCAGTAACCCATGGTACAGCACCCACCAACAGCTAAGACTGCATTTTCCAGGTCTAGGGGTGGTTATGTTTAGTTTGTTGCTGTAGTGGTTGGTTGGGGTTTTTTTGACACATTCCCTATATCTTACTGCATGAGAAAGCTTCTGAGGATTGTAACAGCAATTAATCAAGCAATTAATCAGCAATTAATCAAACTCTAAAATTTGTTTTCTTCTTTTTTTTTAGGTTTACCACCATGTCTTCTGCATGATGCAATCTTTATTAATAAATTTATAAAGTTTGCTTACATAAAGCAATGTAAGCAAGGCACATTTACAATGGAAGTGACTTGCCATAAGATAGTTTTGATAATTTTTTTGCTTGGTATGTGGTTGATCCTTGCTTTCTTTAGGTAGCGAAATACCAGCTCACAGCCCAACAGAATATTTGGGTATTAGGCTTTTTATCTGTGAGTAGGAGTCAAATCTCTACATTTCAGTTACTCTGGCTTCATATTTTATTTAAAAGCAAAAATAAAATTGAACCACATCAGGCCTTGAAACAAACCCAGGAGAGGAACTGGTTCCATGCTGGCAAACCACACTGACACGTACAGGCCCACAAGGAGTGCTGGATCCACATGGTGCATATTCAGAGATGAAATTTTACTTCCCGTCTCCAACAGCATTTGAAAGAAATACTAGTTTTCAGCGTAGACACTGCCCTGATGCAGTGTGCCTTGTACCACAAGTTGCCTGTGTGTGACACTGGCAAGTGTTAACTCACCAGTGTATTTTACATCCCTCCCCACTGAGATGTGAGACATACCCCGCAAACTTTTAGCCATGTGAAGAGGCTGGTACTGGGCTTGTAGGCTGAATGAGCCTGTCACCTCTGCAAGCATTTATCACCATTTTATATACAATGTAGTTACAGTAAATTCTCCACAAGAACCCATAAACTATTGTCAACAGAAGCTTAATCCCAAACTGCACATTTAATAAGGAGGAAAATCGCCAAAATCCAGCAACTTACTACTGGAATACAGACAAGGAAACCAGCTCCTTGTTCAAGTTATGAACACCTCGTCTTCTGCAATGCACATCCATGAAGAGGAAGAATAGATGAGATGCATCAACATCTGTCTTTCCTGAGGCAAACACATTGTGTATTCTTTCTCCCCCCACTTCATGTCCCTACCAAAGCAGACACCTATAGCATATTTTCACTTTGCATGTCCCATATTCCTTATTGGACCTTGAAACCTGCTTCTGCCAGCTTCTACCCACCTCCAACAGACAAGGTCAAGCAACTCTGATGCAGCAGACATTCTAGAGTGAACACAGATCCTGAACAAACAGGCTTAAATGCATTTGCAGTAATTGTTTGCATTCAAGTTTTACTTCAAATGTGAAAAAACCCAAACAACCTGATGATTGGAGACCCAGAGATCCATACCTCTACTCCCATTCCCCCCAAGCAGATGACATCCAAATCCAGGTAAGAGCCATGAATTTCTTCGAAGTCTTTGCTGGTCCATACTCATAAATTCCCACTAGGTATTTGCAGGTGCATGCAGCTATCTGCATGCCTGCAGGCAAGGTTCACATGCTAGACTCCTGGAGTTCTGAGACTTTTCGAGTTTGCTATTGTCACTTGGCATTCTCATCTCTTTTTCGAAGCATTTGGCATGCACAGAAACGGTCCTTTTCAGTCTGATTGTACCAGTCAGTATGTCAGAGATGTGGTCTTTCCACTCCTGACCTTAGAGTGGTCAGCACAGCCAGATGTTTTACGTAAAATAAATACAGACTGTCAGGTGGCTCCCTCTCAGATTTTCAAGCACCTTTTTTGAGAAATGCTCAAGAGAAACAATTCATCTTTCCCCAGTGCAGTGTTTGACTTTACTTTCCAAAACAATCCCCCTCCATATTGTGATCAACGATGTGATAATAAAAACAAACAAACAAACAAACAAACAAACAAAAACCCAACAAAAAAAACCATCCAAAATCAACCAACCAAAAAAAAAAAAAAAAAAAAAAAAAAAAAAAACAAAACAAAAAACCAGGTCTAGAC